ATCAGGCTCATTTATCTAATTTTCTATCATGGCATTTTAGGCAAAGAGCCATAGACATACTGTATTCTGATCAGAAAGGCAGAGTGAACTGCACTGCTTCATTATGAAATATTTACATCCTGTGCCTCACCTTCCTCTTAAGTGCAGTTAAGTTCACAGAGTCATAAAAATATTCAAAAACAAGGAAAGAAAGGTTTTCACCTCCTGCAGTGAAGAAATAGTAGACAAGGGATCCAGGCTAATAGGCTAATTATGACTAAGAAACAAATCAGGTATGAGACAAATGACGGTCTTTTAACAGCTTTGACTGTTTGAGCAAAACAGTAAGTAGTAGCCCATAATGAGATGAGGTGGGTGTAGCGGAGGTGTGTCTGTGTGTGTATCATTGTGTGTGTCAGTCGGGGGTGCAAGCAAGCCGCTGCGAGCGGAGCGGATACAAGCTGCACACAATTAACAGAAACATAAATATCTCGGCGTGCTTAAGCAAGCCATTAATCAGATATAAATAGAGCGAAGGAGCCCTTTGTGATTAACGAGGTGAGACTCGCTGCTAATTACTGTTTCCCCCTCCTCTGGTAATTAGGTTGGCGCATTGAATGGGGATGAACGACACTGCCCTGACCCCACCCAACCCCACCCAGGCACACACACACACACACACACACACACACACACACACACACACACACACACAATTGTTCTGTTTTGCTCTTGTGTTTGATTGTAGTGGGATACATGTATGTGAATGGGATTTTAATAGTTTGGCCAAGGTGAGACATAAACGTCTCTCTCATCTGTGTGTGATGGGAAATCCAGTTTTGATATAAAATTCACATGATTGATAACAGAGACATCAGTCAGTAATAACGCTGTTGTTTTAAGGCTGATATTAGTCTGGCTGCTAGGATGGCCTATTAGAAGTCATAAGTACCAAGGCCCCCCCGTCCACCCCATGGACATGACCACATTCATGTATAACTAATTAACAATCTGTATATTGTCAGTGACTGCAGTATTTTATTTTTCTCAGGACATTTACCTAAAATAAGCAGGAAAAACATTGACTTATCACTTATGTTTTAACCATGGAAACTCAAATCAATCAAATATACAGCATTAAGCAAATAGAACTTGAAGCTACACTGATATTTAACAAATGATTGGAAGCAGAGCAGCTTGAAAGCAATTTTATTACTAGTTGATGTTAACTGATTGGAAGCCATATATCTACATTTTTCTTTTTTAGTCTGGTAGAATAATGGATTGTTTATCTCAGAATATGGAAGTTAATTGAAGTCGATTCACTGAAGCACAAGCAATTTTGGTATATGGTTTGGGTTATTTAAGGAAAACTACCATCACATTTACCAAATAGTGTCTCACATTTGCTTTCTTCTTATTATAATAAAATGATTATTTCGATGGCTGACTATGTAAGCAATTTCAAGCCTGTATTTGGATATATGAATCTGTATTATATAGCCCAACCAGTACAGGATTTTTTAGACTGTCATGGATATTGAAAATTTAGTGTTTAAAAATTATAAATCAGCCAATATTAATTTTTTTTACACAACCTAGAACATAAATAAAAAATGACACTACTGTCAGGTAGACAAATTATTTGACACTATTTCAAAACACACCTACGGTATTTCTGTACTTCAATTTCTTGTCATTTATCAGCAGATACGATATATCTACAATGAGCTAATATGGTCAAATTATCAATCAGGCTCTATTCTGCATTCTTACGTTCATACACATACTGCTTTCTTTGTGTCTATTTTCTTTTTTGCCCTCCAGCTGTACAAGCTTGTTAGAGGTTTGCATGTTAGACCGCATGGAAGCAGCATGTCAAAGTCACAGCATGGAGCTGAACCCAAGAGTACAAGAGCTGCTCAGGGTGCTGCGAGACACCACAGGGCCATGGCAGTTCTTTCACAGTCAAGTTCAAGGTCAGTTCAACAAGCAATTAAAGGCAATGCTATTCAGATTTATTGAAATATTGTAGACAACTAGCTTACCTACTTCAAATGTGCAGCTACTTTGGCCTAGCTACCTGGGTCTTGCCCCTGTTTACTGGGCTTTATCGTAATGTTTTAAAACCAAAGAGAAGTTGTGGAAAGAAACCAGACTCTCTCCATTGAGATTTAACTTTAAGATTGTTCTGCCTGCAGGGAAATGAGACCAATGAGATTGTTCTGCCTGCCTGAAATGTTTGTTGCTTGTATTCCACTCCACAGGGACTTTGCCTTATGAGTTTGGTGAAATGACAACTCTGATGGATGTGCATCATGGCTGTGTCAGCACTTCTCACAGGCATCTGCCTCTCACTATCAACAGCCTTACTTTCCTGCTCCCCGTCTCTCTCTCACACACTCACACTCACACACACACACACACACACACACACACACACACACACTCTGAACTCTGGTGATATACAGGTGTAATCCATTACTACACTTACACCAATTGTCTTCAGTTGGAAGTGGCTGCTATGACCTTTTTATGGGAAATGAAAATAAGTGGAGGCGCAGAACAGCCGATATTGGATTCTGTTGTTAATTAATGTGTGTATTATCCGGGTGGATGAAGCCAGGGGGAGGAAGTTAATTGAATTACAGTCAGCGAGTTGGATAATGCACTGTTGTAATTGTTCAACTGTATAAGACAGTGCTCACATTAGGGAGACGAAAGGCAGGCCTGATTTGCTTCTAGAGAATGGTAAGAAATTACTTGTTTGGTTTTGGGGTGTGAGGCATGAATGGGTTTCTAATTTAACCCTTGGGATGGCAAACTCTAACTATGTGCACTAGTAAAGCCTGTCTATGCACTCCTTATTTACTTACAGCACTTTTGCAGCACAACGACAAACTAACATATCCCATTATCCCATCTTATAGCAGTTTTCACTGGCGAATAGGCCTAACAAATACTGTTTTGTCTTACATCAGGCTCCAGCCCCTCTACATCTCACCTACACATTTTTTTTAATGATTTCCATATTGCTTTTATTTAGATTTATTTTTTTACATCCAGGCTGTATAACCAAATTTGGTTCCCCACAAAAGAAAACTGGCCCAGGGCTCCATGTTGCAAAGCAATCTAAGCCTAATTCAATATGACGTTTTCTTCAGTAAATTCAGTATTTTCCTATTTGCTTTGAATAGAGAGGTTCAATACAAGGCATATTAATGAGACGCCTTTATTTTAAATATAGAAATCTATGTTAATAAGCATTAATATTACAAATAATAAATGTTGAATAGGATTAATTTTTACCGGGTGGTGAGCTTTCTGCCAGGTTTGGGGACCACATATTTCTTTCTATGGGATGTGCTGCCATCTTGTGGACGTACAACCAGAAGTACAAATACATCCTTTCTCAGTCCAAGGCCAGCTGATTCTGATGGGAAGATCGTAGAATCACAATCTCACAAAACAGCTTCATAGCAACAACCTGATGCCATGCAATATGTGAAACATGTCATTTTGTTGTTGGCACTGCACTCATATCTAAAACTGTTGTTTGGGGTATTCCCATGCCAGGGCACTTCTGGCCCATTAAAACCACAGTACTCATTTAAGCAGTGGAGGGGTCAGAATAAAGCCAATTTAGACAGGTTGTGCATTAAATAAGGTATAAAGTAGGACTATGTGTAATTTTACGTTACAAAGAAACAATATCATAGCGACATGACTTGTGTTTTCTTAGTATACACAAATATATACAGTAGTACTTAAAAGGTAACAATGCATGTATTCAATACATGACTTACACAGTCTTACATGCTCGGCATACAAAAGAATGCTTCAAATGCCGCAGTATTCGAGTAAGACCTACTGATCAAAGCTCATTACAGCACAGCTTAATAAACAAAAGAAGTATGAAGGAGCTTTCACAAATAGCAGTCCTACTTCACAACTCATATATCCAATAGTTGACTAACAACCAAAAAGTTAATTATTTAAAGACAGCAGCAACAACTCAACAGCTTTAGTGCCCAGGAAAACAACTGCACAGAAAATGGTCAAATACTGAAGAGACATTAAAACACTTGGACAGAAACCAGTGAGCCAAGAGACAGACAGACATAGAGGCACATGTTTTTTGCCCATTTCTTGTTTTCTTTAGTTTATGTGTGTGTGAAAGTGTCCATGTCATTTAATATCCTAATAATAGAAAGGTGATGTTAATGGTGGTTATTTTGTTGGTTGACAGCACTCCACATCTCTTTTCTCCATTGCTGCTCATTAACTAACTAGCAAAACATTGTAGCTGCTATTCTATCTATCAATAGCAATTCTGGAAAACAAGTTTTTAACATTTAGTAACGTTAGGACCTTTTGGCAGAAATAAAATATAATATTAACATGTATGTTTTCATTAGTGTATATTCACCTGGACAAAAATGTATATTGTGTTTTTGTTACCTTAGAATGAGACGTTTTTATCTACAGAGTGAACTGGTCCTCCTCCGCAGAATCCGCCATGTTGAATCGCCATGACGGACAAACCAAACGCGGCCACCATAGTTTCTCCTTCATGTTTGGAAGGCTTATATTTAGTCAGTTGCAATCTGCAATGTCACCGATATATAGTAATGAATCCTACACACTGGTCCTTTACTTTATGTTGTGAACTTTTGTGAACGTTGTTCGTTGTGAGGCGGAAGATTTGTCAGAGACACATTTCTTCCCTTCGGTAGACTTATGGGTGCAATACCGTCTTTGTCCACACCGACTGACGTTTACTAGCCGTTTACCTAGAGGGGCGCTGTTTCACTCAAAATGGATGGAAACTGGGAAAGACATGGTCACACAAAGAAAATGATTAAATATCTTATACAAAGTTAAAGTGATTGATACGATGGTCAGTAATTGATACAATTACCATGATGTTAAATAAAATTGTTATTGCCCGAATTGTAATTTGAATTGGTAAACCTAGCAACAAACACCTGAAGAGACAGAAGATGAACAGAAGACACAGATAAGGGTAAATAGACTTTATTTTTTTGCTTACAGTATTGAAAATGTAATTTTTTTATTTCACCCATTTTTACCCCAGGCAACTATTCACTTTAATGCAACTTTTAGAAAACAAAAAAAATAAAAGAACTCCCTCTATGTACATTCATTCACATTTGAGAACAAGCAAAGATATTATTACATTTGTTTACTGTACATATAAACATAAGCTAAAGTGGCCAGAGAGATGTAAGGACAGACTTTATACAATGTTAAATACGAAACACACATTTGTAAAAATGTAGAGATTATTAGCAGTACTAACATGACCCATGTATGATGTAAATGAAATTCCATTCATTTGTTTCAGATTGATGAGGAATTAAAGCCTATAGTAAATATTTCAGCAGTATAATTTAATTTTCTGACAATTCTGATTATGTGGCAAGCAAATTTGACTAACAGCCTTACTTTATGCATGTTATGTGTAAACGTGACAATCATTATCCTTGTTCCTCCAACACGACTCAAACCAAATCAAAACCGTTTACCATCAAATATACTTTCATGGAAGATTTTAACATATATTAACTTTATGTTAAGCCAATGTACATACATTTCAAATTCATATTAGGCCCGACTCAAACTACTTCTTAATTCTTCCATCTTAATTCACCAGCCTGAAGTACACGCGACACAGAATTAAAGACATAAGTGAAGTAACAGGTCTATCCTTTCAAACTTCAAAACTGTGAGTACAAAATAAGCTTTCACAGGCAGACTAACACTTCAATGTTTACTGCTTAGCTACTAATGTGCTGGAGCGTTAACATGAGTGCACGATCCAGTCTTCTCAAAAATGGTCTCTTCACAGAGCTTTGCAAACTTTCTACAACAGAGACCACCTGGGCAAACATGTCACTTGCAAACTGTTTTGGATTAAACAAGAAAACTTGTTTCACCACATTTACATGTGATGTTTGTTTAAATTGGTCAGAGAGATGTAAATTAAGTTCTCTTAATTTTATTTTTTTAAAACGTGCTACATTTGCCCAAGAGTCATCTGTTGCTGCATCAGCAAACATCCACACACTCTCAAAGACCTCAGCTTTTTACATTTCCATTTAAATAAGTATCAAAAGTCATAATTGTCATTCTAATTCTCTTTGTGCTACATGGAAAATGATACAGTGTGCATTATGTACAAGCAAAAAAACAAATGTCAGCACTTTGGTGTAAGCTTATTAAAGTAACCAAGAGATGGACTTGTTTTAGTTTTTAAAGGGCCTTCTAAAGCTCATTTTAAAAACATTAACATTTAACATGAAAGTCAAAGGTGAATATCAAGTTACTGACAGCAGCCATTTTTTTTTTCTCCAGAAGATGGTGCTCTTCCTCCTCAGGTCCCACTAACAGCTGACTTTCATTACATGTTTTTTAACTTAACACAGATGTGTCTAACTTAGCCAAGTTGAGACAACCAGCTCCACTTTCTTTTTCGCAAAAATTCCACTTTTCTACAGACCTTCATTTCAACATTGGGTGCTTAAAATGACGAATGCCAACAATGGCTCAGTAATCTGACAGTAAGCAAGGCCATATTACACTTATCATAACACAACTGAATGAAAACTGGTCTACAATTGTATAAAATGGACAGTCCTTAGTTCAGTTGGACTGAACAGCAGTGTTTTTTAACAAAGATGATTCCCATACTTTCCCTGACATGAAGCAGACAATATAATGGTTTGGTCTCATTTTGTACAGCACATCTTTACAGTTGATGTCCCAATGAAGTCACCGACACTGCTGACTTACCATTTGAATTACGACCATATTTCCTGTCTACCATTATGAACATGGAATGTTCAAATTACAGTGAGATGCAAGTTTGTCCCCAGTAAAGATTTAGACAAAATCCAAGTGTCTAAACAAACAGTAAAAACTTACATTACAGTGAAACTCTCCCTCGAGTCAAAGACTGCTCAGTGCTCAACTATGTAAACACAAGATGCTCTCCTACAACTCGATGTTTCTACCTTCAGTCCAGAAAGCCAAAACACACAAGCCCTCACCAAACTACACAGCAACAATGACTATATGGCTATTCTGGCGCACCACCCATGCACAGGATGTTGGAAAAATACGGGTGAAAACAAGAGTCACAAGGCAACCACAAGTTTTTTTTTTTTGTTGCCTATTGTGGCTCATCACATGGGATTCCGTGTTTGCATTTCTTCTTTTTTTGTTTACTTGTTTTTGTCTTGGTTCCTCAGCAAACAAAGGCTTTGTATTGCTATCATGTCATTATAAATTTGGTTGGTAGCTGGGCTGGCGCTTGAGGGTTTTTCCTCATGAATGTGCATATGAGGAAGGTGTCTCCAGGCAATCAGATTAGTGTTTGAGCCACCTGTCAGGTAGGTGGTTACTATGTATTGGTTGTGAAGGAGGAGACATTCCACCTACAATGTATTTAAAGTGATCTGAGCTATGAGAAAAGCTGCTTACAAATACAATACGCTGATATCACGTTAATTGATATTAGAATAATTGAAATGACCACACTAAATTCAGTTATGTGGGCTTCACATTATAGCAGGTCTCAAGTCTCTACTTGACACGCGCCCACAGTACAAATGGCTTGGGCTACCTCCTTGTTAACAAAGGTGTGACAGCAGATGATGGACAAAGTATGTGGTCTATTCAATCTATAGAGATAAGGACATGTAGAGGGGGACCCTGTAGGCACTGAACAGGACAGACTCTCAGTCTGGCTCTTCCCTACACACACCCCAAGAGGGCGCTCTGCAGGCGTCATGTGAAGCGCAAAGCAGGTTGGAAGGGAGGAAGAGCAGAAGGAAGAGAAGATGAGGGAGTGGGGGCTTTTATTCGGGTAAGTTCAGCGCAGCCACCTCTGGTTTCATCTTGAAGTACTGGTTGAAGCGCAGGACTGCATATCTGAGAGTAGAGACACACAGAGGGAAGAGCAGAGTCTGTGATAAAAATGTGCGCGACATGTTAACTAGATGGATCCCAGTGCAAAAATATCAGACTGTTTAAACACACTGTGCACTGAGATGTTACAAATGATGTCAATCTGGATGCTTTGTATTTTGTTCATAAACATGTGATTAAATGACTGAAATCGGGTGAACGGAAAAAAATAAAATAGCTCATTATAAAGTGTGTTTGATAGTGTATTTCAAAATGGGCATACCCCAAGAAGTCAAAGTCGATGGTGGAGAACTTGGCCTGAATCAGAGCCCAGAGACCCCAGAAGAAATGAGATGCCTAGACACAGAGGAGAAAGAGATCACAAAGGATTAGCATGTACTCACTGTCTAAAAGTAAATGTCGCTTCTACTTACCCAACATAGCCAGCAGAAGCCCTATAGCAGCAACACCAAATAGCTGATACAGAAATACAATTGCTTCACTTGCCCATCCTCCACACTGCCCTCTTTTCCTCTTGACAGTAAACAAGGCTCAGGGGAGAGCGCAGAGCCACACAAGAGTTACCAGTTGCCATTAAGGGTGCCTCCCATATGGTGGCCACATCAACAAGCACATCACAAACATCTTTCTCTCGTATTCGGAGCAGGTAGTGCAGGTTTTTATAGCCCACATTACTCCGTACTCTGTTTAACCCACATCACACTATAATCCATGTTTGCTGACCCAACACCTGGGAGCAGGCTTCAGCACCTAGGATGCTTACTGTGCTCTAACAAGTGTTCAGTTTCAGTCCTTTAATTCTGACTGCTGTTGGCCATGGCACAGCAGTTATAGAAAAGGAATGACTAAGACAGCAAAGAGCAATACTTGTCCATGACCATACAGTGACCATTCTGACCAGATCCAGTGGCGACTGTTTTTACCATCTGCTTCCTATCAGCCTTCACTACCCTAAAGGCACATTGAGGAGCGTTAAAGCAAACAGAACCCATGTGGGTGACCACGAGCCACTACTAAATTACGATCTTAATGTTCATCTTTAGTTTCTTCCTCAAATCATAAGTGTCAACTGATAACTGATGACAAGATTAGCACAAACAACCAACTATATTAGGAATATAGGCCTTAATGCATTCAGACAACTATCTACTATCTGTCAATCTGAAACAGTCACCATTTAGGTCTTTGATACTACAGACTTGGCCATAAAGACTAGCAGATGTGCAGATGTGCTCTACTATAAACTAACGTGGTTCATAATGTAATGTAATGTGCAACACAAATGCTTACCAAGGCAAATCGGTTGACTTGGACATGAAGAATCTCCACCTCTTCGTCAGTCACTTCATTGCCCTGGCCTTTGTGCTCCTTATAGGCCTCCAGGTAGGAGCGGAGCCACTGCAGCTGAAAGGCCCGATCTGGGTAGTGACTATAATCCACCTCGTTCAGGCCTAAACATAAACACACAAGTTAAGCAACTCATATACACATTTTTTCTATACATACCAAGCAGGTAGTACAAGTTATACTCACCAGCAAACTCATTGAAATGATTCCCAATGTCGTAGGCTTGGTAATTGTACCCAGCATACTCGTAGTCAATGAACTTTACATTGCCTGGAAAGAGAAGCAGCGTTGTTTAGACAGAGACATGGGAGCAGATATAAAATGATTATGTTGTGTTTTCCCTTTGATTACTCAGAATGTCAAGGCTTTTCATTTCATACTTTAACTCTGTCTGACTGGACTGGCTGGATAGTTAGCCGATTGTGGGGCAAGGAGTAAGAGCTTGCATTTTGAGGAAAAATAAGACTTTAGAGGGCACAGAAAATGAAATAAAGGGAACTAAGAGAGACACGTTTCAACTCTGGAAAAAAAAAAAAAAAGAAAACTGACAAACACCTCCTAGACATGCTCTATAATGCTGTTTGGGACAAACACAATCATGCTGTTAAGATTCAATATGTATAGAATAAAAGCTCTTGTTAAGTAAAAGTCGGAACGTGTGCTTTTATGTCATCTAAATTGGTATACCTAAGAAATACAAGGGAAGAAATCTAACCCATGGCGGTTGAGCCATCAATCTCACAGGATATATCAGTAAACGGATTACATTTATCAGTAACTTGAGTTATCAGAATTATTCCACAAGACCACAAAATATGCAGCTGGGATACATTATGTAGAGAGGAAAATCGTGATGCAACACACGGAACACATTCAAATATCTATGTAAAAAAAAGGAGTACATCTAGCTTTTCAGACAATGTTTGTTTTGGACACATGCACAGAATAGAGGGAAAAGTCAAAGTTATGTTTTGAAGGGATGGGGGGGAAAAAGAGAAAAGGGCAAAAAAAAAGCAGAGGGACAAAGGGAGGAAGATAGTAAAATACAAAGAGGCAATAAAGAGGTGGGTAGAAAAAAGCACAGTGATCAGCCAAAGCAAATGTACAGCAACACACTGTTTGATACAGGCTCTCTCAGAACTTTGTTGCTGTTGCTAAGAGCCTACTGGAGTTACAGCTCTTAGATACACACTAAACCTTCTAGACACACCTATTCTAAAAGTTTTTATAGTCTTGTGAGAATTCAGTCACACTACTGGCTCTGTAAACTAAATGTCTCTTTATGTACATCTATATCTGAAAAAGTGCTTTTTTTAACTGCCAATGAAATATGGGAGAAGATTGCAGCTGATCATCTGCATGTAACTTTAAACCCGATGTTAAAGCATGGAGAGGAAGGGTCAAAGAATGTGTTGCTGTCTGACTGCGTTTGTGGGCTGTTGAAAATGAGATGTCTGCATTAACAATGAACAAAGGGGAGAGCATTCAGTCATGAAGTGCTTGATCTCAAAATACAAACCCTTACTTACAAGCCCGTTATTACAGAGACATTAACAAAACAAATGGAATTTCGAAAAAAAACAAAAAAAAAAAAAAAAACAATACATATCATTAAATGTCTCTACTCTTAAATCTCTTGGTTTGTTTTGGCCTTGGCTAGTTTCTTTGCCCTAACATGTGGAACATTAGTCTTTGAGGTGGTGCTGGACTACAGAGAAAGACACTTTGAGGTGGGTTACCAGCCGGCGTGTAGGTCCTAGCGGGACACAACTGAACACCTCCAGGCAGTGGCTATAGCCCCCCCTGTGCAGCAGATGAAAAGGTTGGGGCAAACACATCTTTCACACATGCTCACTCTCACTGACATATTTTGTCTTTTTATCCATTCTTACTCCCACGCAGTGTCGAAACATCAGGCCCTGCTGCTAAATTCCCATTCCTTTTCTCCCCCTCCCCCTCCCGCCCCACACATGCAACCCCACTTCCCCTTCTCACAACACTCCCCTCCAATGCTCCCTTCCCATTGGTCCACTGTGAACCCAATAGTGGGACACCTCTGCCGCTTCTGAAAATGACAGAATCTTTGAGAGGCTTCCTGTTGGCTGCTGAGCTGCAGATTTGGTGGCCCTCAGGACTGGGTAAAGTGCGTGCAGATATTTTTTTCTTTTTTTTGCGAACATCTGAGCAAAGTGAGAGGGGCAGGGAAACTAAAGCAGCCTGTATTGGAGGCTGAGAGACAAAGTAAAGAGAGACAAAAAGAGTGAAGAGAAGTAATACAGCGCTTGTTGAGAGTATACTTTAAACTTTTAACAGCGTCTTTGGAAAACTGTTTATGGTTTTATCAATACAGGAAGTGGTGGGGCCTGAGCTGTCACGTTTGGCAGACAAGTGGTTTTAACAACAACAGCAGTGCAGAAGTGACAGGAAGCAGTGCGGTAGCTGTTCGGTCTCATGCCTACTCTGTTTTCTAAGGCACGTTAAGATAGGAATTGAGTTTACTCTAACAACGGATTAAACAGCTTCAGTGGGTGCGGTCAGAATGTAGTAATTATGGCTTGAAACTGAAGTCCCTGGACTATTGTGGTGTCCATTCCACTGTGGTTGTCATTTGTAGGTGTGGTCTTGTTGTGTTTGCATTGCTAAGAAATCTGTGATTACACTAAAAAGTACTGGCATAAGGTAAAATTCCTTTCTATTCTGGCTTTTTATCAACAATACTTCCAAACAGAAGCACTGATAACCTTAGCCATACATTTTGAAGCCTGAAACATGATTCTACAAGTCTGCAAAGATGTCCTGCACAGATTTTAACATGTCTATATTAGAGATCTATACTATACATCATCTTAACTGCACTTAATGGCACTTGTCACAATGGAATGTACAGAGTTAACGCTGGTTGTTGGCCCAGTTCCAGTGAAAAACGAATCAGCACTTTGATGCGCGGATTCAAATGTGTGCACATCCAGTCCTCTGATGGTTAAACAGAAACTGTTTTTCTATGTGGCAAAGGCGCTTCCCCTGCTTTGTTGCAGAAGCATGTTTCAGCTTTAAAAAAAGATACATCTGATATTCTTTATTTGTGTTAATGTCAAAAAACCCCCCCAAAAAAGTCCAACCAATGTCTTAGTCTGTCTTTCAGTACTTTCCTACTTCCCCAGCCTCTCTGTGGCTCTCAGCCACAAGCCCCTTCATTCCTTCTGAAGAAAGATCTCTAAACAAAAAAAGAAAAAGGAACTAATGTCCACTTTCATTTTTCTTTAAAGGGGCTCAGTAGTTCCCTACAGCTAGGCACTGTAGATTTCGGCAAATGTAGCTCAAACACTGAATTTACTGCGGAGTAATACACATTTGGTGCAGTAATGAGTATTTATTGCAGCAGGACAGTGTACGTGGTACTGACTCAAAATAAACTACACTGTGTGTTCATCATAATGTAGCTGAAGATGTCTGTTAATAGTCATGGACAACGATGGAGATCTATGGTACAGAGGAATAAGCTCTATGTGGGGTTTTGACTACCCAGGCAATACTTTTTGGATCAATTCCATGTTGGTTTTGATATTTCTTATGAGGTTTATTGACAATAAAAACAATACAGAATATCATGAGACATATCCTTTCACTGACCAGTGATCAATATTGATGCTATGAAATGGAAATTGCGGAATAAGGAGCAGTGACGGAAAGGAGCTTTACAGCTTACAGCAAGTGCAAACCATAAAAACATTTGTGTAATAACCAGCATTGTAAGTAGCCTGGCTACTGTCAGAGGGACAGCTGGTGGGCGAGTAGCACTGGAGGGTAATAGGTAGGTACGTGGCTCCTACTGCTGCCATGAACTCATCCCGTTTAGCCTGAGCAGTGGGCAGACTACTCGAGGGCCCTCAGAGCCGGTGAGGTTTGTCTCTCTCCATTGCCTGCCCAAGGCAGGGCGGCGCAGGGCAGCCACAGCCTCGGCTGTCATTCCTAGGGGAGAAAGGCTAGACACAAGGAGCTGTGAGAAGGGCCCCGCCCCTCGTCGCAAACCGACGAGGGGGCTGACAGCTCTTAAACACCCCCACCCCACCTCCCGCATACATCCCCCCCCCATTCCGTCTGACCAGTTTACCCCGCCATTCCTCTGCTACAAAGATATTGACTAGAACAGTTTCACTGACTGGTACAGTCTCATTGACCGGTATCATTAAAGTCGCTCAGAGCAAAAGTAAGCTAATAAGTTTGCTCGAGGACAGGTTGCTTGACATTTATACCATCAAAAAAACAGCACAATTGCTAAAGCACCAAAGACGTGTGCTGCCAATAAAACTGAGACTTGTATGCGGTATGATGTAATGGCATTGTTTGTTCAAGCTGATAACAGTGGTTTACGTTCTAAGTTTTCATCACAGAATTAGAACGACAGATCAGACAAAATCTAGGAAACAGAATGAAATCCAAATAAGAAATGGCTTCACTTTGTACTTCTTAACAAGGCCTATGATCCTTATTACAGAGGCCTCCCTGGATTAAGAAGGAATGGAAAATTGAAATTCAGAAAAATAAAATCTGTGACAGATGAGTAGCTTTAATTCGTAATTGCCAAATTTATTGGAGGCAAATCCACATAACTTTCCAATCTCTACCAGTCAACACAGCACTTTGTTTTGTGTTGTGTTTGCCCCATTTCAAATGAGGATTCCATGTAGAGCAAAACAGCATCCAAATAACAGGACCGTCTTTTCTGACCGTTCTAATTCTACGCCTGCAGCCCAATGCAAACACTGACAATGAGTGAGGCATGTGACTAGCGTTGAGGAAGTGCAGTTAATGAAATCCTACCTGAGCGCAGGGACCAATGCAGTTCACACTACAACACAGTTCAGTCACACTGTAATGTCTATGACTACACTTCTGTCGTTTATACTCACCTGCCTTCTGGTTATAAATTATGTTTTTGCAGAGCAGGTCGTTGTGGCAGAGAACTACGGGGGAGCCAAGCACCGACAAGCTCTGCTGGAGCCACACCAGCTCTTCTCGGAGGCACAGTGGGCTGGGCACCTCCATACGCAACCTGGAGGGGGCAGATGGTCAAAGAGGGTGAATATTGCATATCGAAAGGAGGTAGGAGGATCAAGAGTATTAATAGAAGGACATGAGGAGGTAAAGTCAGCATGTGGGGTAAAGATTCAATTCTATTAAAGTAAATAGAATGGAAATAGAAATAGATGTGAAATAGAAACAGAAAATAAGAAGCATGAGAAGGGAAGAGAGGGAAACAAATAACATATTCTAATTTTACAGACAGGCTTTGTGCAGAACAATTTATGTGGAAAAAATGCAGGAAAAAGTGATTCATTCATAATTGTTGAGTCTCAACAACAATGAATCCAAAGAAACCACATGATCTGGGTATATATTGAGTCAATTTAATTGCAAAAATATGTACAACACTCTTCTTAACAATGCCTAGCAAGACAGCATTACAACAGCTGTGTTTTACAAAATGGTAACATGTCAAATCCAACTAAAGAGGGGTTTAAAAATTCTGAGACTGTGGGGCCCCACTTACTTTACTCAATTCCTGGATGTCTATGGGATCATGATTGTGTTATTTGATCCCATACACTCAACAAGTGAGCCTAGATAGCTTAATACTGCTGTCTGATAAAAAAAAGTTTAAAACCTGTGATTTAAGTGCTCCACTTTTTAGATGTTTTTTCCTTCCATACATGAACCCCTGAGATACTGCAGGTGTTGCAGTCTTTCGGAAGACTTTATCAGCGTTCCTCTCACAGTCACAATATTTGGGTGGCCTCCATGGAAATCAACAGCCACGAAAGTCAATGTTTGTTTTAGATTTATTTTGGGTGCCAACTTGTATGGAGGTAGTCTTAATGGTGCCAAAGTGCCCACAGCGTGTTGGCTGGAGATCAAGGATAATCACAACTCAATTTGCCTGTGATGTAGCGAACCTGTATTCTTCTGTGTTGGTACCGACACAAACTGAATGGATGGAAACTTAAGTAATCTTCATATTTAGATGACGATATAATAGTTGAGTAATACAATACTTTTAGATTACTTACTTATAGATTGTTACAAACTAACAATCTGTGACAAACTATGTTAATGATAGTGGTTTTGTTATTTCGTTTGAGGATGAATTCACTTTTTTCATATACATTTCCAGGATGCTGCTCATTTATGTTTTATGGTTTTAGAGTTATCATTGACTCTGTTCCCATTATCTCTTAGGAATGTAATGGCTGTAAAGTGAAGTCACATCTGCTGAGGTTACGAATGGAATTCCACAGACTTGTACAGCTGATAATAAATAGTCTTGTGTTGTGCCATTGCACCTGGGTGACTCATTGATAAGAGAGGTAGGAGGTCAGAGTTCCACGTGGAGATAACTGAAAACAGACATATACAGGAAGCAAAGCCATGTGTTCCCTGAATAAATAATAAAATCCCTTTTTTTACTTTTCAGCCTTTTTAAAAGGTCTAAAGATTACATATTTATGATACACATTCCTTTTTGTTTGTACTTCATGTCCATTTAAATTCAGAACACATTTAGTAATAAAATATGACTATATTAAGCTTATATTGTCCCTCAAGTTACTTTATACTCCCAGTTTATATTTTTAATCTATATACTTGTTTTAAAAGGTTTGTTCGTGTTTAATTTTAAACTCGTTATTCAGACTAATTAATAAAAAACAGTGGTGAATTTAACTCTAAGTAGTGTTACGCAATCTTTATTGGTCTAAATATAGGCTATTATAACCTGCTGATAACCTGTAGGTTAGTCATGATCTGTACACATTGTTCTAAAGCAGCCAGGGCTGTGAGAATGAAACCGAACTAAGCTTTCATTCCTTCATCAATGAATCGAAACATTTAAAGAGCAACAGATGAAAGTCAGTCTATCAACACCTGAGGGCCTGGCAGATTTCAGTTATTATAATCTTCTATATGGCCTCACCTGTTGTTCTTCTCTGGGTCCTTTAAGTACTTGGGGATGAGAGCAAAGTACTTGCCCATCTTCAGCCACAGATCAGACTGTGGCACCCAGCCATTGTGGGCATGGATAGCGTGGTACTTGGCCAGCTGCCTGGCAATGAGCCTGCAAGGTAGAAGAGACAGAAAATGGGAGGATTGGAATTAGAGCAGCAAGCAGCAATATGCGACTGGGCTCCAGTCTAGCAATTTCACTATCACAACAAAAGGTGTTCAGAAAATAAAAGGCACATATTCTTGTGACATGAGTCATGACTCAGGTTACAGAATCAAATCTATTTTAAAATATATTATTACAATCCACTTAGACCTAATAACAATGTATTAATCTACCTTTCATTGTTCCTTTATTGTCGATTATAGAACAAATGTAAAAATGTTAAGATAATTTACTTCACTTTATCTACCCTGTCGTCAATCTATCAAATAAGTTTTAGCATTTTAGCATTCAGACTTTCTACATGTTCAATTTAAATTATTTTGCTGAAACTACAGAGTTGAACGTTATTTTGGTTAGATTTATAAAGTTGTTTTATATTTGGATAAAATCAGTGGACATTACAATTTCCACAACACTTTGGTGAAACCTTTAAGGTGTGAGACTGAATTTTAATGAATTTTCAGAATTTCTACAGGTGTATATTGTGTTTATTAAGGCTGGATTGGATCAGACAACTGTGCACGAGGCACAAGGAAAGAAAGAGAGAGAATAAAAAGAGGGGAAGAACGGGAAAAGGAGAAAATAACAGAACCGGCACTTCAAGTCTTGTCGCTCAATTTGCACTTCAAATGCAGTAAAATGCATTTAAATTTAGTGTTTTTGTGTGTGTGTGGGTGTGTGTGTCCGTCAAGCATTCAAGAGACTGGCCTCGGGGTGGTATGCTGACAGTTGACAAAGCTAACTCAAAATCAACACCCTTAAAGAGTCTTTGTTGCATAACAACATTTTCTTTACCTGAAAACAGGTTGGCTGCGAATGTGCTCTGGCTCCAGGGCAGTTCCTTGCAGAAATTCATAGCACAGGCCATTATTGAAGGTACAGTATAGGTGTGGGGCACAGCGGTTTGCATGTAGTACCCTGAAACTTTTCACCTCGTTCTCCCGGTCAACCAACAGTTCAGTTTTGTTGCCATAAATACGGACCAGAACCACATCCTGCATGACTGGACCCACATAGCAGCCCAGAAGCTTATTGGTTATTCCGTCTGTGAAAAACTGCAGAGACAAACAGAGGAAAGAGTGAAGAACAGGTGAATCGGGGGAGAAAATCATAAATCATCTTCTGCTTGAACAATCTAGCTTGATGCCTTAAGTCACACCATCCTCCACATTATGCTATTTAAGTGCCACGCCTGGAAAACTACATTGTTTTGAGTATTACATAAGTTCTGAGAAGAGTCTGGTGAGGGGAGAGGAAAGAATACAGCTATGAAAAATAAGGGCCTGTCTGGTTTAATTCAAGCTGAACTGCCTCCACTGTGAAGCTGGGAGCATTTCTGGGTAGAGGGGGGTGGTGCCAACATACCAGCCCTAATTGTTCACTCTATAAGGGATTGACGGAGAACGACGAGACTGTCAGGAATTTTATTTTTCATGGAGGAAGCAATGATAGGCATTTGCTGAGTTTCCGCTTTTCTCCCATTGATGAATATAGGCAAGGGTTGGCGCAGCATGTGACCAGCTCACACCCTCGCTGTGTTTACCAAAGGGAGCCACACCCCCAGTCTGTTGCTGGAAAGGAAAATAAGCCACTTTCTGGGTATCTGCCTAGGCTGTACTGTTGAACGCACACACCATTCCTCTCCAGGATAACTACATGTAACGTTAGGAGGTAGTGTTTCCTTTACATTACGAAACTAGTCCTGTTTGAGTCACTTATACAGAAAGTAAAAACATTAAATGGTCTATAGCCATGCTCTATTAGTCATCTGTGTTTCTTTAAGTTTACTTAAATAGGCTAGAGATTGCTACTTACCTACAGCCTATTACTTAACAGAGTTGCCTATCACGCCCACCAACCAGTAAACTCCAGAAGCTCAGTCAATGATGACCATTTTGAGCTCAGAGACACCTCTCCTCTATCCGTACAACCACCTCCAGGCTAAAACTCCTGCTTTGACCATTCATTGCGTCCCACTGTAAGCCCACAACATTCACCAGAAGTCATTAACGTAACGTTAGTTAATTGAATTTTAGCGTATCGTCGTTGAAGTGAGGCAGACGAGCAGGTTATAGCAAGCTGGGCCAAAAGCGGCGAGAAACTCCCACTTTTTTATCGTGACCCGAGCTGACGCAGATGCTATTTGCAAAGGCAAAACATTAACCCTAAGGAGGAAAAAAAATACTGCAGTATCTCCAGAGCTGTAATATAGCGAGCAAATTATCTACCATCTGTCTGTGACGGTCAACAGCTATTTTACAGCGGCATTAACGCACGTCTCGGCTGTCCAGCGGCCCGTGGTGTCGTTATAATAGCCGGTTTCGTGTGTCATTTTTTTTCCGCTTTGAATAAATTAACGTTTCTATTAGCTAACCGGAGCTTCTCGTGTGAGGCACACCATGCTAGCTCGCACGCAAAACCCGTCGCAGCTGTAGACAACTTTAACACCAAAGAAAAGGTTACACAAGCAACGTGGCGACATGTCACACCGAGCAGACTAACACTAATATGTTTAAAAATGAAATGAACGGCACCTTCACTTTGACCTCAGATGGCTTCCAGCTCGGTCTCAGCTCCTTTATCAGCTTCAGTGCACCGGATCTGTAGTCGCTCTCGTCAACTGTCACATCTATTTTGGGCACAGCTGGAGCCTCGTCGGGTACGTGAATGTAGTTGGCCATTTTTAAACCTTTGTTTCTTGGAGTATCTTGAAACTCTGTGCGGTTACTGTGCTGTACGCGGTGGCTAAATGCGCAATCTATGAAAATGTGTGACAAACGAGGGGTGGGTGGGGGGTGTATATAATCCTGGAGTAGTCTGCGTGCGGCAACGCCTCTCAAGAAGTCCCACCCACTCGGAAAAAAAAATGTTCGCGCGATGCATGCTGGTTATCGCACGACTCACTAGAAGCGCGTGTTCAAGTCGTCAGTGGGAGCACCGTGGACGGGGCTTAGTCGGTAAAACTATGACTAAGCAGTTTTAAAGTAATATTAATTTAATGTGTGACACTAAAGGCAAAGTACATAACGCCACAAGAACATACGAGTACAAATTAAAGGTATGGCTCAACCCTCTCTGTGACAGTGCCAGTCGGCGGTTCTTGGTGGATACATACAAGCGTACACTTATTGCAGACGTACCTCACCAGGCTGACGACGTCACATCCGTAATCTACTTGAATGAAATAAGCTTTGTGTCAAGTCTGAGCGTTTTAAATGTCAGCTGGCGGTGCCAGTAGTCCGACATAGAGAGGGTAGATCCAGTTGAACCATTACCAGCATATAGTATACGATTTGACCTCAACTTAATCCGACACCCTAGTCTCATATACACACACCTGGTACGCTAGCCGTACAGGAGAAACCTGTACCTTTGAACACAATGTATTTCTGTTTCTATTTGTGGCCTCATAGTAACTGACAGAGATAAAGATCCCCTTTTTATTTCTCAATGCATTTCACAATTTCATATAGACGTGAACTGAATGACAGACTGTATGAACATGTAAAATCAGTCTGTTCCTGTGGGCTTATCATCATGGCCACTGTATTTTGGTTTCTGCTGTCTATAATAATATAGTCCCAGCAGAAATGAACTAGTAATGCTCCTTTAGAAACAAGGATTTACCCATTCAAATGCAAACTGGGCCTGACTGATTAATCACAGATGCTTGTTAGAGTTCTGATTATTTTAATTCTTACATTTTTATAATAACTACAGTTAAAGTCAAAAAGGTTTCCAATATATTATTTATAAAATACATTTTTAAAACCAATATTCTTTGCAACGAAGATTTAGGCCCATTGTAACTTGCGAAACCTATGTGCAGCATCCAAGGTTCAAGGTTGTCTTGAGCCATAATCAACATCACCAGACAGCAAACAGCACACAATACCCACTGAGACAGTAAATAAGTAAAGTGCTCCATAAATACAATGCAAATATCACATAAAATTGTTTAAAAGGCCAATTGCCACAGGAACAAATGAATGTTTCAGTCTATTTGTCCTACATCATGGCAGAGTGAATCTGCAGCCAGACGGAAGCAACTTAAACTCTTTAAACAGTGGGTGGCTAGGATCAGCCAGGATTGACTGGGCCTTCTTCAGAGACCTCACCTTGTGTAGGTGTGGGATGTAATTCAGGGTTGTGGCTGCAATTTTTTTGCACACTTTGACTATCCACTGTATTCTATTTTGTATTTGTATTTTAACAATTTTCTGTCGGTTTATAAAAGTCCACCTACTGTATGGAAACAGTCCCCTAGATCCCCCCAATAGCAGTGGTTTAATTCAATTTCAATTCAAATTTGATTTGTATAGCGTCAATTCATAATAGAAGTTATCTCAGCACACTTTTCAAATAGAGCAGGTCTAGACCGAACTCTTTAAAACATTAATTACCAGCAGACCCAACAGTACCACCATGAGCAAGCACTTGGCGACAAGGGCAAGGAAAAACTGCCTGTTAAAAGGCAGAAACCTAGGACAGATCCTTCGGCTCTAGGTGGGTGGTCGTCTGTCTCGACCAGTTGGGGTGAGAGAGAGAGAGAGAGAGAGACCAGAGAGAGAGAGAGAGAGAGAGAGACAGACAGAAGACAGACAACAGACAGGTGCACAGCAACAACAGTATTGGCAATGGCAATCTAGCAGGACCATGGCAGGAGGCTCCACCAGGATCCACAAGAACCTGCGAGACGAGAAAGCACAAGAACTCTGGGGAAGAAGTGAAGTTAGTAACATGCATTAATGGAACATGAATGAGTGCAGAAAGAGAGAGGAAGGGAGGAGCTCAGTGCACCATGGGAAATCCCCTGATAGTCTAGGCCTATAGCAGCATAACTAAGGGATGGTTCAGGACTCACCTGATCCAGCCCTAACTATAAGCTTTATCAAAGAGGAATGTCTTAAGCCTACTCTTGAATGTGGTGAGGGTGTCTGCCTCCCGAACCACAACTGGAAGCTGGTTCCACAGGAGAGGAGCTTGGTAACTGAAGGCTCTGGCTCCTGTTCTACTTTTAGAGACTATAGGCACCACAAGTAGCCCAGCATTCAGAGAACGTAATGTTCTAGTGGGGTAATAGGGTACTATGAGCTCTTTAAGATATGAAGGGGCCTGACCATGAAGAGCTTTATAGGTGAGGAGGAGGATTTTAAATTCTATTCTACATTTTACAGGGAGCCAATGCAGAGAAGCTAGTACAGGAGAGATGTGATCTCTTTTTCCTAGTCCCTGTCAGTACTCGTGCTGCAGCGTTCTGAATTAATTGGAGTGTTTTAATGGACTTATTGGGGCAAACTGATAATAAAGAGTTGCAGTAATCCAGCCTTGAAGTAACAAATACATGGATTAGTTTTTCTGCATCTGTCTGTGATAGTAAGTATGTGTCTAATTTTTGTAATATTACGTAAATGAAAAAAGGCAGTCCTAGAGGTCTGTGAGTGAAATGACAAATCCTGATCAAAGATAACTCCAAGATTCCTGACAGTGGTGCTAGAGGCCAAGTTAATGCCATCTAGAGTAACTATATCTTTAGACAGTGAGTCTCTGAGGTTTTTGGGGCCAAGAACAAGAATTTCGTTTTTTTTTGTTTTTTAACATCAGAAAATTGCAGGTCATCCAGGATTTTATGTCCTTAAGACATGTTTGTAATTTAGATAATTGATTAATTTCATCGGGCTTGATTGATAGATATAACTGCGTATCATCTGCATAACAGTGAAAGTTAATGGAGTGATTCCTAATAATGTTGCCTAAAGGGAGCATATATAAAGTAAATAGTATTGGTCCAAGTACAGAACCTTGTGGAACTCCATGACTAACTGTAGTATTTATTGAAGATTCATCTTTAACATGTACAAACCTACGAGCGATCTGATAAATATGACTTAAACCAGCTTAGTGCGGTTCCTTTAATGCCAATTTGATGCTCAAGTCTCTGTAAAAGAATATTATGGTCAATGGTGTCAAATGCAGCACTAAGATCTAATAATACAAGTACAGAGACAAGTCCATTGTCAGAAGCAATCAGAAGGTCATTATTAACTTTAACCAGAGCTGTCTCTGTGCTGTGATGAACTCTTAATCCTGACTGAAAATCCTCAAATAAACTATTGTTATGTAAAAAGTCACACAACTCTTTGGCGACTACTTTCTCCAGAATCTTAGAGAGGAAGGGGAGGTTAGAAATCGGTCTATAGTTGGCGAAAACCCCTGGGTCAAGAGTGGACTTTTTAAGAAGGGGTTTAATTACAGCTACTTTAAAGGACTGTGGTACATATCCTGATAATAAAGAAAGATTAATCATATCCAGTAAAGAAGTGCCAATTAGGGGGAACAACTTCTTTAAGCAGCCTAGTTGGGATCGGGTCTAATAGACAGGTTGATGGCTTCGATGAAGAAATGATTGAAGTTAACTGATGAAGATCGATAGCAGAAAAACAGTCTAAATATATATCTAAGTTTACATTGGCAGAAGTCCCTGAACTTGGAGAGCCACTGATAACTGTTGATGGCAGTTGGTGATTAATTTTCTCTCTAATAGTAATAATTTTATTATAGAAGAAGCTCATGAAGTCATTGCTACTTAAGTTTATGGGGATATGTGGCTCAATAGAGCTGTGACTCTCAGTGCTGAAGAGGAACCTAGGGTTATTCTTATTTTCTTCTATTAGTGCTGAGTAATAGGCTCCTCTGGCATTACGGAGGGCCTTTCTATAGGTTTTAAGATTATCATGCCAAATTGAGCGATATTCTGATAATTTGGAAGAGCGCCATTTCCTTTCAGATTTCCTAGCTATTTGTTTTAACTGGCGGGTTTGGTGGTTATACCAAGGTGCTAGTCTCCTATGTTTTAATAATTTCCTTTTTATAGGAGCGATAGAGTCTAATGTTGATCGTAGTGAGCCTGTAGCACTATCGACAAGATTATCAATTTCAGAGGGACTAAAGTCGTTATAGGACTGTTAAATTCAGACATGGCATTGAATTAAACACTGAAGGAATCTCCTCCTTAAATTTAGCTACAGCACTGTCAGATAGACATCTGCTGTAGGAGGTTTTGCCTAATGGCTTATAATCTAATAGTATGAATTCAAAAGTTATTAAATAATGGTCAGATAGGAAAGGATTATGTGGGAAGACTATTAAATGTTCAATATCAATGCCATATTATAAAACAAGGTCAAGAGTGTGATTAAAACAATGAGTTGGTTTATTTACACTCTGACAGAAGCCAATTGAGTCTATTAATGATATAAATGCGTTACTAAGGCTGTTAACATCCACATGAATATTAAAATAACCTACAATAATTACTTTATCTGATTTAAGGACTAAACTTGATAAAAACTCTGAGAATTCAGATATAAAATCAGAGTACGGTCCAGGAGCGCGGTACACTATAACAAATAGAACTGGCTGCAGTGTTTTCCAGTTTGGGTGAGAAAGACTAAGAACAAGGCTTTCAAATGAATTATAATTTAGTTTAGGTTTAGGGTCCATTAAAACGCTCGAATCATATATGGCTGCTACTCCACCTCCTCGGCCGGTGCCTCGAGGAATGTGAGTATTAATATGACTCGGGGGGGTGGATTCATTTAGGCTAACATACTCCTCGTGGGACAACCAGGTCTCAGTAAGACAAAGTAAATCAATATCATAATCTGATATTAATTCATTCACTAAAACAGCTTTAGAGGACAGAGACCTGATATTGAACAGCCCACATTTCATTCTCTTATTTTGTGCTACTGAGGAGTTAGTTTTAATTTTTATTAGATTTTTATGTTGAACTCCTCTTGTTTTTATTTCTTTAAACAATTTAGGTGGTCGGGGGACAGACACAGTCTCTATGGGGTTTTGGGTGTTTTTTTTTAGCCCATTTAAATACAAAAATCTAAATTTACTCAATATCAATGATGACACCCTTTGTGTATTTCTATCTTCACCACATGTAATGTCTGTTCTACGCCGGCATCCAATTCATGCCAGATCTGATCAGTTGCTTGGTAACATAGTGTATAAAACATTACATGGGATCTCATTGCATCAATTGTCCTGCCCTTCATTCTAGCAGCCTCCCAAAAGCCATACCCAAAAGAAACCTGAATTTTTATCTTGAGCGATGTTGACTCTCCTTGTAAACAATGCCTTGCTCTCCACCCACACAGGTACACATTTACACTTGGGATAGCTGCCCAGTGCAATCAGTCAGTAATTTCCTACGGGCAGCTCCAACTGAGCTGAATGGAAGGTGTAATTTTGCCCAGGGAGACCTCACAGCAGCTCTTAAGGAAAAATAGTGTTTTTTTTATTCATGAGAAGTTATTTCCACAGTTGTACATTAGGAAAAAGAATTGGAACACGTCCCCATTTCCCCCTCACTACTTGTAGGCTTTTTACAGTTTTTGCTGCCTTACACATTGATATTTACTCATTTGCATAATGGTCAGTAAGTAAAAACACAAGGTTGCCATATCAACCTTCATCAGCCTAACACTCCATGTGGGCATGTTCCTATTGGTGAACCACTGAAAGAAAACCCTAACCTGTAAGACACAAACCTACAGGCAAACCTGCAAGTGGAAATAGGTGATTGTCTTTTTTTAGTCATTTCAATTCTCCTTGTGAAGATAACTCTTTCCACTTTACTTCTAATGTTTCTGTCCTTTCAAATGTGGCTTTTCAGGGGATTTTCAAATAGCAGCATCCCCAAGAGCCACATATCCAACGAACAATAGCCAGCATTGTGCAAGCTTGATGTCTGTTGTTATAACGCCGTCTGAGGCACAGGAGGAGCCGTAGTTGCTGTTTAGGTAGAAATTTGATCAAGTGTCACTAAGATAACATAGCAACAAAAGAATTTTCTTTTCTTTTTTTTACCATGTATTGCTGAACACATTTTATTCTTAGAATAAAACGTGTCATTGTCTCATACCAGCATTGTGTCTTGTTTAAGTTTATGAACTGATGGATTTGTATTCATGCTAAAGTAAATGAAAAAGCTTTTTTAAAACATATCAATCAAGCAAAAATGTTGTGCACTCGGTTTTGAAAATAATTTATTTCAAAGCAAAAATATATTCTTAAATATACAAGTGCATTAATAAGAACCAAGATAATCACTCTTGATTCTCATTGCCAAAAAAATCTGACATATCCATTAGCTTGGATACGATAGAATGTACAATTCCTTAATTTCTTATTTCTTCATTTATGTCATCTACCTTGCATCATTCGTGAGTTTGTGTTGCTCAACATGCTCCTAAATCACCACCCTCATGCTCAATCAAAGTAGTCCTCTATATCAATGTTGGGGTTGAGCAGCTCCTCTTTGTACGGGGTCAAATCCATCTGGTTGAGGATCAGGTTCTCGAAGGTCTCCTCCAGGTCTGTTTCCCCAATCAGCACCGCTCCCACCATCCTACCTCCACTGAGAACGACCTGGAACAGGATTACAGAATGTGTGTGAACATGAAGCTGGACGTGATGATTCCTCCTGCGGTGGATAGAATTATTGTGATGACAGCCAAGGTGAGACATATTTAGATGCCATCCCTTCTTAGCTACAGTTTAAACAAATAATCAGCTAATCCTGTTTTGCTTCTGACTCACTACCAGCTTTAGATCATACACAAAGAAAAACAGTGGTTCCTTCCACAAAACTTTATACAAAAATTCAATTCAATTCACAGAAATACCTTCCAGATGCCATTGGCACTACAAGAATGTGCAACAGCAAACAAACAACTTGAGTTTTTGATACTGCTTACATGCAAACTGTGTGTGTAAAATAAATCCTTTTTTATTTAAGCGTTTTAAAGCTGATAAATGAGCCACACAAAAATTTGACTCCCGCTGTTAAAAAACACTGAATACAACAACACATAAGAATAATAAGACAGTGTTATTCTCTTCAGTATCACCTTGACATACTCCTGGCCTTTGGTACAGCGTACCAGCAGTTCATGGTCGGGCCCCAGCCCTTGCCCATTAAACTTTCCCAGCAGGACCACCTGTGGAATGACCAGCAGACAGGAAGTAGTTATGTTAAATGTACAGTGTGAATGAGCCTGGAGGTAGAGAGAACAGGATGCAGAGTAGCACTCTGAAATGACCTTGAAGGGTCTTGAAAGTAATGGATAACGGTAGATGATTAACACATTGGTTATTATTGTATATAAGTTAACGCGCCTGCACCCACCTTGTAGTTGAAGAATTTGGTAATGTGTGAGAAGAGTTCGAAGCAGAAGTCCAGCTCTATTGGTTCTGATAGGACGTGTGCCGCCATGCAGCGGCCGGCGTACCAACCCATCTGACGGGCCTGCGTCCACAAACGCATCTGTACACAACACACACACACACACACACACAGAAATACAGCACTTTATATGTATGAAATTAACTTTTTAGCTCTCCTGCCAATACCAGAGGAACTGAAACTGCCTGTTTTGTTTGCACTAAATTGACTCATTTCAAGACAGCTGACAGCTGAATTATAGTGGTGCTGATTGCTTTTTACAGGCCAAAATCTGAATATAATATATTGTATATTTTCATGTGTTTCCATAGCCATTTTCAATATTATCCTGCTGTATTGAAGTACTGTGTGTACATTCAAAAACAGACTCATTAACTCATATCCAGGATATCAAGTTCGCTTTTCAACTTTAGTTAAAGCTTTACAGTGCATGTGTTTAATTATTGACCACAGTTTAGTAGCTTTTAATAATTTACACTTGCAGAGCGGTTATATTTTAGTTGAATTTAATCAAATCTAATTGGCTGAACTGTGTGGGCGGTATATGAGAACTGATGATGCGTAAATATCTTTGCTCTTTGCTCTTGTAGGTAGTCGGACGTGGAAGATGACATCCTTTAGTCAGAGGGCACATAATAATCCACTATCCTACTACTGTATGTTGTCCTACGTGTCGTAATTTCTAAAGATGATTAGTCAGTCAGTTTACCTGCTGCCACAGTGGGCTGTGTTCCCAGCATGCAGTGCACACGTCTCCTGCAGCATACACATCAGGCTCTGACGTCATCATGTGGTCATCTACCTGCAGGCCATCATCATCTGCCAGTGCAAACTAAACACATAAAACCAGGGAAATAACTGATCATCATTCAGAACCACTGTATGAATAATAATGTATGTTCACAAAGGGGAGATTAAAATAAAAACTAATATTCAAACTGTGTGCTGTAAAAGTCACATTCATTAAATGAGGTGGTTGAGTGAGAAAAGCTCATCCGTCCTTTAGTGACATCTAGAGGCACTAACACCCAACTGCTGGCAGCTCTGCATGATTTTCTGCATCTGCTTTACAGTACTGTGAACAATAGTGCACACAGCTACACTGGGGTTATTTTTGCAATACAAATCCACATGTATCTGTCTGGCAGGAGGATATTTTAAGAGGTTAACAACAGATTTGCATATATTTTGGACATAAAAGGATGTGGGAGCATGTCTGTTAGGCAACTGACAAAAAGGAAGATAAGATAGATATTGCATAACATCAAACTTTGTGAACAGACACAGTAAGATGCAGACTCACAGCATTGGCCCAATTAAAGGACTTAGGAGCACAAGAGAGCTTATAGCTCCTTTACTTACCTTGTTGCCATGGAGAAATGGTTCAGTGTTTGGCACGACACCGGTGGCACTGACAACAAAATCACAGCCAAATGTCTTGCCATTGGTCAGCTGGATGTGAACTGGCCAGGATCCTCCTGAGAGGACAGAGAAAAGCTTAAGGAATTAAAAGTTTGAGGGGGAAAAAAAGGGGGGAGCTGGGAAAGGATCAGGCAGAGTTCAGATCTGAGCAGTGGATCTATTTCTCACCGTTCTCCGGTCTAAGTGTTTGCTGTGGGGATTTGAGCAGCTCCTCTGAGGTGAAGATCTTTTCCACCTCACACTGGTATTCCAATGAAACTCTGCGGGACACCTGAGCTCACACCAGCAGGAAACAGAGACCCAGGAGAAAGGTATAACATAACAGAAAGTCAAGACACAGAAATTCATTTGCAGAAGGCGATATCCTTCCCCAGCTGACCTCCGTGCTTTAGGATCGGCACAGAGCCTTCAGTAACAAAGTTTCACACACGATCTCACCTGCTCTGCTCCTCGTAGAACTATTCCTTCGTGCCAGTCTGGACCGAGGGCACTGCCCGCCTCTGTGTGACCAGAACCATGCCCCCGTGCGTTCTTATCTGGACATTCATACACATACACACAAGCAATTGTTTGTATTAAAGAAAAACAAGTATGATGATCAGATTCTACTGTAGCGTAGACACTTAAATAAACCATGATGAAGACCTGCTGTGAAGGTCTGGGACCCTCCAGGTGCTGGTTCCTCGGTGGTGTAGCGAGTTCTCTTGCAGGGAGCAGCTCTTTCTGGTTTGTCGGCCTCCAGTGACGGGATGAGAAACTGTGCCGCCCCGGGGTCAAAGAAGGTGTTACCTATGGCCTTGTCCTTCACAGCCCAGATCACCTCACAGCCCTCCACCTCAAACCTATACAGAACATAATGAATGAACAGACTCAATGCTTTTCAGTAGGAAAAACGCATATTTTATTTCGATAAAAATCATGTGTTAAAGGAATAGGAACACAGTAACACCTTTTTAGAATGACATTCTTTGCTTGAGGATCTCAGTTAGAGTTTACTTACACTAATTCCAGGGCAATCCCTCCATTGCCAACAACAACGATTCTCTTTGCTTTGGATAACCGTTTCTGAAACTCCTGAAATACAAACACAAGGAAAGTATTTGAGCACCAACATGTTTTGTTTTTTAACCCCAGACTAAGGAGGTTGTGTTGTCTCTTGTTTTGACTCTTTGTAGACTACGAGGACATATCGAGGCCACTGGTTCTCAAACTATGGATCGTGTACCACTGGTGTACGTGAGCTGTTTCTAGTGTAGGAATCTGTGAAATATTTTTATAAAATGAAATAATAAAAAAGAAAACGCATATAATAATGTAAATACTTTACATTATGAGACTGCTGAAATGTAATTTAAAATAAGTTTTGCATTTCCTTTCATATTTTGTTTCAGTATCAGCCTGCTATCAGCCATGCACGTAGTGTACACATATTCATGATTAGATACGGGCTACAATGTGATGGCAAGAGAGTAGAAGGAGTAGAGGTAAAATGAATGATTCAAAAACACTGCAATCCAAGCAGGAAGTATTAGAAAGAAGTGTGGACCAGGAAAACCCCTTTTCCACTAATTAGCTCTGGTTCTTGAACCGGTTCCATTCAGGATTCAAGAACAGTCAACAATAAATAATCTTCTTATTAGGAATAAACCTGCATGAACATAGTTGTATAGGGTGGGCCTATGCTACTGTATTTTAACATCAGTCATAATGGTGGAACTTTGAGAAACACTGGTCTCAACAATTTCTATTTTAAAAGTATAAAACTGTATGCACTCTGTTACTGCCTTTATTTCTTTAAACAAATGCAAGCTACTGTACTGTGTTCATTTACATCAACCACACACACACACACATATAATTTCCTACATGCAAATGAGTATTTAGACAAGTACTGTATATTCATAGCCCTGTCTAGCCTATATTCTTCTGCTAAATTACTGCTGTATATATATATTTTAATTATTTATTTTTTTACACCATGCCACTACCTCCTGCTGTAACCTGTGCAATATTCTATTGAAATCACATCAGTATAAAATGTATATGTATATAGTGTACATACAACCCTAATTCTATTCTCTCTATTCCCTATTTAATTTTTTTTTCTTTATATCTTGGATTTTTCTATTTTATTTTGCTATTTAATGTGTATTTCTTTTTTCTTATCTGCTATGTTCTGTTATCTGGAGCAGCTGTAACAAGTGAATTTCCTCAGTGTGGGATCAATAAAGTCTATCTTATCTTATTTGATAAAATCTTACTGGGTATTCTGGATGAGTTAGTGCTGCACAATTAACTGTACCTTAGCAACAGCATCACATTCACAGGAATAAAGGGAAGGTTGTAAATTGTAAAATTAATGCAATGGCTCTCTCAGATCATGCAGCAGTAGAGCTTAGTATTGGCATAAATACTGACACTGAGAAAAAAGGTAGATGGCGAATGAATATATCATTATTACAGGATGAATCCTTCAACCGACTGCTGAAGGAAGACCGTATATCTTTTTTTGCTGAAATTAATGCTGGCAGTGCAAGCTCAAAAGCGATGGAATGGGAAGCATCAAAAGTGTACATCAGGGGGAAAATGATAGCACATTCGTCTAAAAAGAAAAAAGAGGATATGAAGAAAATAAAGGAATTGGAATCTGAAATCAGAAATCTGGAAATAGAACTATCAAACAATTTCTCAGATAAATTATATTGAGATATATGTAAGTTTAAGTTTCAACTGCAAGAAATGTATAATAAAAAAGTGGAATATGCTTTATTGAGGCTGGGGACAAATTTCTATGAAGGGGGAGAGAAGACAGGCAAGTTACTTGCCAGGCAACTGAACAACAAAATTCCTACAGTGTAATAGCAGCAATTAAGAAGGGTGATGAGGGCGCCCGGTTAGCTCAGTTGGTAGAGCTGGCGACCCATGTGCCGAGGCTGAGTCCTTGCTGCAGCGGCCCAGAGTTCGAATCTGACCTGCGGCCCTTTGCTGCATGTTATCCCCTCTCTCTGCCCCCCTTTCCTGTCTATCTTCATCTGTCACCATAATAAAGGTAATAAAAGCCCAAAAAAATATATTAAAAAAAAAAAAAAAACAGTACAAAGAACTATATACATACAACATCAATCCCAAACAAGAATTGACATAATTTTTCTCTAATCTGCCTAGATTGGCACCCGATCAAGTGGAATTATTAGATAATTTAATAACAGAGAATGAAATCAGGACTGCGGTTTCAGGTATGAAATCAGGGAAGTCACCGGGCCTCGATGGATTCCCTGTGGAATATTACAAACAGTTTATAGATACCCTGGCACCAATATTGCTAGAGATATACAATAAAGCTTTTACATTAGGAACCCTCCCTCCAACATTTAATGAGGCCTCAATATCAGTGATACCTAAAAAAGATAGAGATACCACTAATCCTGCTAACTACCGACCTCTAAGTCTGATAAACCTGAATTGTAAGATATTAACTAAGATCCTGGCTGCACGCCTGGAGAAGGCCTTGCCGAGTGTTATACACAATGACCAAGTCAGATTCATGAAAAATAGGTCTTCGACGGACAACATGAGAAGATTACTACACCAGTCGTTGCCCTCTCGCTCGATGCTGAGAAGGCATTTGACTGAGTTCAGTGGGAATTTTTGTTTGCAGCCTTATCACATTTGGATTTGGAACAAACTTTATTAAATGGATTAAAACGATATACAAGAATCCTAAGGCAGCGGTGATAACTAACAGTGTAATCTCACCTCCTTTTAACCTCACCAGAGCTGCTGGACAGGGCTGCACTCTGTCACCATTACTGTTTAATATTGTGCTAGAACCATTGGCTATTGCCATCAGAGCAAATGCAGCAATTAGGGGGGTGGAAGGAGGAGGGAAAGAGCACAAATTATTATTATAAACGGATGATATTTTGGTGCTGATAAAAGACCCATTAAATTCGATACCACACCTGATGAACACGATACAATCTTACTCCAAACTATCAAGATACAAAATTAACTGGACAAAGTCGGAAGCTATGCCTATATCTGGACTATGCAATTCAAACTCACTGACAAATTGCGGCTTTAAATGGATATCAAAAGGTATGACATACTTGGGAATCAAACTAAGCAGTCAAGTGGAGGAAATACCTACGTTAAATCTAGAACCATTGCTGCAAAAAATGAAAACTAATTTGGACAAATGGGGGAAACTTAGGCTTACATTATGGGGGAAGTTCAACGTGATAAAAATTGTGGTTGCACCGCAATTTAATTATGTGCTCATGATGCTGCCAATAACTATATCTCCTCAAACCTTTAAACAGTATGATACAATAATTAAAGATTTTTTATGGGACAGGAAAAGACCCAGAATTAAATCCAGTAAAATGTGCTCTCCTAGGGACAAGGGAGGCCTGGGGTTGCCAGACCCTAGATTCTCGGGTTCTCCTTTGAAATGGCAAAACTAACCAAACACTGGAATAAAGATAACCAGCAAGAGTGGGTTAACACTGAAAATAATCTGTCATCTCCTTTCACTCCTATTGATAGATTATCCCAGTCCTCACATAATGTACTGAATCCTATTATGTCTCACTCCAAAGAGATCTGGACTAAAATACATAAAATGCATAAATTATCACAATGTAAACAGGTATATTCTTCTCTGTGGCATAACCCTATGATCAGCATTGGAAAGACATCAGTATACTGGAAGGACTGGTACCTTAATGGACTACGTCATTGTTGCTGATTTATATGAAGAAGGAGTGTTCATGTCATTTTCTGATGTAAAAAGAAAATACAATCTTGAGGGAAAGGAACATTTTTGGAAATATCTGCAGATCAGGGACTGTATTAGCTCCAAGATTCAGTACAAGGATGGAAACCACATCATGGATTATCTCATGTTACCTGCTGAGTGCCACCGAGCCTCTATATTTTATAGAACAACCAACCAACTGCTCAGCGATGACTGTCAGGGCCTGAAAACAATATGGGAGAAAGACCTGGGACGTCTGATGACTGACGAGGAATGGCTGAGAATTATATCTAATAATGGGAAATACATTAGGGAAGCTAAAGGTAAATGTACACAATACAAAATAACACACAGGTATTACTGGACACCACAACGACTCAACAGAGCAGGTACAACAAATAATAACCTGTGTTGGAAATGTCAGAAGGACATCGGTACTCTGTTACACTGCATCTGGGAATGCCCTGTCATTCAACCTTTCTGGAAAACTGTTGTGGACAATTTGAGCAACTGGCTGAGAAGCGCCATACCACTATCTCCCAGATTATGCCTCCTAGGGGACAGAAGCCAAATACACAACATAACAAGTGGAGAATTCGCTATAATCATGGCAGGGATTACAACGGCTGCCAGGACAATACTTAAATTATGGAAAACACCCAAACCCCCTGAACTGAAAGAGTGGGTAAACATTATGATAAAAACAGCTTCATACAAACTGATGCTCAACATGATGAACAATAGAAACAAGAATAAGGCACCAATCTGGGACTTGTTCTGGACTCACGTCACAATGCCTGATGGGCCTGTAGCGTGATTACCTTCCTCTGAGTGGATCCAACATTATAATCTGCTGTGTGGATATTCTACCAAGTTATGAAACTATCAACATGCCCTTTATATACGAGTGGTTTTATTTATTTATACTGTATTTTTATTTTATTTTATTTTTTTTTTATGCCACTGATGATCCATGTAGTATGTATAACAAGACATGTCTCACAATGTAAAATGTTGTACTGTCAAACACCAAAGAGAAAAGAAACAAAAAAGGAATAAAGGGAAGGAACAAAATGGTGCACAAAACAAAACACAGACAAAATATAATTGAAGATGTTCTTTTTTGGGGGGGGGGCGGGGGGACTGATCCTTGCTACTGTAAGAAATAATTAATAGTTCAGTGAATTGGGGCACCCTCATAGCTCACCTGGTAGAGCATCTCAATAACAATACATCCAGAGTGATGGGCTGTTACCTGTGCGCTGTCTGTGTCCCGTATCCCCAGCACATAAGGATTGTCCAGGGTTAGGAGCTTGGGTCTGCCCCCACTGCAGATACACAGCTTCTCATAACCAAAAATACGACCATCTACAGTTTCCAAAGTCTGAGAATAGACAGGAGAAAAGTAAATCGTGATTCATTTTCACATCAAGCTTTGAGTTTTGTTTTATTCTTCTCACTTTGAGAAAGTTACATTCCTTTTCACAAACTGTGTTTGGATTTTGGATATTAAACTGGAATATTTACTATAAGGCTGTACTTAGACAACATGCGGTGATGTCCACAAGGTGGCGATAGAACACAGATAATAATTGCCTTTGTTGAGATGTGTTGCAGGAAATCACTGCCTGAATATGATTCCAATTATAACATTATAATCAGCAAACAATTAATAGTGAATTGAGCATGCATGTGTGGGATGTTAGTTACAGTCACTTACAGTTTTTAGTTATAGTCAAACTTATTAAATCTAGCATACCAAACCAGAAGCAACAGCTATGTGAACGCAGCCCAACATTAAATATTGTATTTATATCATTTATACTCACCAAAACAGCTACTTACATGTGATTGTGTGTGAAGTGATTTGACAGCAGAGTGGATGACAGTCAGGTTGGGAAATTTCTCCTCCAGAACACTGGATGGTTGTTCCTCAACATCAAACTCTTCCAGTGTCTTGGACACCTTGCCAAAGAAAAGTGAATAGATGATTCAATGCAAACTGAGTAGAATGACAAGGGGTTGAGAAATGAATACAAAAAGAGGATACGTCCAATAAAAACAAAATCAGTTTTAACATTTGATGTCCAAAGTACTCGTGTCCATGCATTTACTGTATGGGAGACCAAGTTGGAAACAAACCCTAACAGTCGTTAGTGTGCATAGACAATATGTACAGCATCATCTTCATCATCATCATCATCATCATCCTGACCTGTTTATAGTTGGTCACTGCCTTGATATGGGGTCCTGCTGTGATCAGAGCCACATCAGCTGATGGAATCTGGGATAACAGCTGTCAATGAAGATTAAAGTTCATGTTCAGTAGCTCAATGACATGCATTCACTTACAGTAGTAGAGCCTATGTGCCTAGGATCATACATTTATTCAGTATAGACCTATTTTGTAACTCATCAGTTTATGTTCACCTGCTCAACACATGTCACACCCGCGATGCCACCTCCCACGATCACAATCCTAAATGTTTTCTCTTCTATATCTGCCATATCTTTCCGACAGCGGGATGTAACTTAGTTCAAACAGATCATTTGGTTGGAATGTTCTCTTCCTCTCTCGCCATGGATCGTTGATAAACATTCAAGACGAGTGTCGAAATGCTTGTTGAAATCGTAAGATAGCGAGCTGGCCAAATGTTTCTTTAGCACATGACAACAGAGCACTGAACGGGGTTAACTTCCGTGTTTGCATATAACTACGGCAAGCAGCAGGAAAGGCTTTTAAAAGCGCACGCACTGAGGGACGCGCTTCGCCGACGGAACGAACAAACAAACAAACAAACAAACAGACAGGTGTAATTGACCACCAGAAGCAAGAGGAAACATTTAATATGAAGGAGAGTACACACTGAGCATGAAGCATATACACATACAGGTTAAATATTTCGCCTTTTTGGCTGTTTGTCGTATAAAATAGGCGATACAAACTACAACAACCCTGCAGGTTCAGTTTCTGCTCTCCCTAGGGTGAATGCTTTTGATTACGAGTGTGTGTTAGGTAAGACAAAGGAGTTTGTGTTTGATGTTACTAGCATTCATTCTAGGAGTAAGAGGGACAATATTAAGCTTACAAACACAACACACCAGAATTATTCATATTATTTTTTTTACAACATACTTTAACAGCAATACAACAAAAGCAAGTATCCTCCCCAATTCATTTTCAAAGTACAAAACAATATAAAAAATAGTAAAGCAATAGACCTTTGTCACAGATGGAAAAGCACAGGTGTCACCAGTGATACTAGTTATGGTTGTGTTGCTTTCAGGTCGAACAGAGTCAGGGGTTAGTATTATTATTGTTTTTTAATATCTATATCTTTGGGGCCTTTTTTATTTTTTGCCTTTATTGTTTAGGACATCTCAAAAAGGGCTACATGGGACTTACCCTATTTTATGTCAAAATGGCAGCTGTGAAAAAGGTCTTATGTGTCCTATGTTGGCTAATTGTCACACTGCCATGGCTTACAGGAACACTTAAATACAGAGGAGCCATTAATGAAACTACCTGCGTGTTCTTTTACTATGACCAGTCAAAATGTCCGCTGTGAAAAAGGACAAATAAATCTATGTGAAATCATACGTGTATGGTTTTAAAAAGACAACTGTCAATATGTATGTTGTTTAACTTCCACCCACCCATATAATTTCTCGCTGACCCTGTGCAGGGCCATGGGGTCCCATGATACACAATTATATTAAAGACAAAGTTTTGTTCGTGGGCATAAAACAGAATTTAATGACTTTTCCCCCCCATAAATCTGCAGTGCTAGTTAAATCACAGTCAATTATCCTGCTGTGTACTCACACTACAAGATTAAAAGCCCAATTCTTATTTATTTATTTTAATCCCCAAAGCTAAATTCACCTTTTTATAATAGTCATAATAACAACAACATTCTGTGCGATTGTCATTACAAATTCAAAATATGGGCCAATTTCTGACATATTAGAACCAGAATCACTTTTAATATATACACAGTATCAAGGACATGACATGTTACTCTATAAAAAGAGGTTGTTTAAGTGCATCTATTGATGGGCAGAGCATGTGCAGTATATTAAGTTTGTAGAGTAACATTTGCCAATAAAATGATATGATGTTATTGCTAGCATCAGACAATATTAAGAACTTAATTTAATTTATTTGTTGTCTAGTTATATATGAAAAGACCTGTAAATCAATTTTGCAGTGCAAGCAGTGCTTTGAATTTTGAGGGTAGGGCAGCCATCTTGCTTATATTTAGATCACAACTGTACCTTTAATGTCAGAGATTAATGTGGTCACCGGGTCAGGAATCCGAGCTAACATTCCATCAAAACATCCATCATTAATGCAGTGATAAACAACTCCCCACCAGAAAACAGTTGAAGTACAGTGCCATTTGTGATTTTACATGAACCAATCGACAGATCTTGACACGATCCCCACTCATTGTCAGTGTGTTTGGCAGATAATGGCTGCATTGTTTTATGGATTCATCAGCAAAAGCCGACACTTGTTCTATTTTTGAAAAACCTTTTATGCCGGTGTTAACCATGCATGGGAGTATTGATGTCAGTGTCTGAGTTGATTGGGTCACTGATAATCAAACACAGGTTAATGCTGTGCGTCATACTTCCCCTCTTGATTTTTATTACGTTACCCTGAATAACCCCTGCAAGAAGACAACACATGACTATACAGCACTCTGATCACAATTCTGTCCTATAGAGGAATTTGGATGAAAACCGTTTGTTTATAAAATAAAAAACTGACTGTACTCAATGTATGCAACATCATTTTTTATTTTTCATTGATAAAAAGGGCTCTTGTGGGATGTTTTTGTGGGTGCATTTCACTAGACTGTTGGACCCTTGACCATATTATTGAAACTGTGCTGCTTCTGAAATTAATTAAGCAATTTTAAAGCCAAAAAAAATAACACAAAACACCCATTAAATTCTAAACACACCTCTTATATTAGATACTCACAGTACAATACGTGTAACCAGGAGCTCAACTGAAATTTGTAGGGGGAGACTGACAACATACATTACTGATCACATTATGGGATCACAGTTAATTAACCTGACTATATTTACACCAAAAAACCTGCAGTACATTAGTCACAATACAACTTTACTGTCCACAGAGGTCTTTAACACCTTTACACAATGCAACATTAAGACCTGGGGTGGGTAGAAACTACAAGTAAACCAAATGAGTTAAAAAGTATTTTTTTAGGAACGGACCAATAATCTTCTTTTAATTTTACAATTAATGCACACAGATGTCACAGATGTAACACGTTTACTATTACTTAACTAATTTGTGAAGATCTCTGGCGAGCACACCATAAATGTCGTAAGTGGTAGTATCTTTATCCAAAGCTAAGTTAAAAGGCTTTTGGTTTCAGCTATTTAAGGTACAGACAATCAATCTTTTTGTCTAACTCTCGACAAGAAATCAAATAAGCATATTTCCTATATATTATATATTTATATTCCTTGAAAAGGCTGAAAGATCACATAAGATGGCATGAAAGCTGAGACTGAATTTGGACCATGAACTGACTAAACAGTTGGATTCAGTAAATTGTGGCTGACAAAATGGTAAATGGTAAATGGACTGTACTTATATAGTGCCTTATTACTCTTACAACCACTCAAAGCGCTGTACAATACATGCTACATTCACCCATTCACACACGTTCATACAGTGATGGCAAAGGCCATCCCAAACGGAAACTAATTAATTCATCCACATTCACACACCACTGCACAGCATCAGGAGAAATTTGGGGTTCAGTATCTTGCTTAAAGACACTTTGACATGCAGCATTTCCACTTCCCTCCTGAGCCACAGCCACCTGTTATAGGGAATAAGGCATTCCTCTTGGGTTAACTCCCAGCTCATTAAAGTTTTTTCTCCACTTAAACATAATATTTTCTTGTTCCTTGGATGTTTGATCTTCACTGTACAGAATGATGTCTGTGCAGAGTTTGACACCAGAAGTTTCTGTGTGCTCATTGAAAAGCAGATTTTTCACAAGTCATTTGGAAGTCAGTCCTGGTCCAGGATGCAGCCAATACAGTGTGCTGTAGAAACTTGAAGCCACCAGTGCACATACACTGAGAATGGACGTTACAGTGAAGGAGGAGACATCTTGTGTCGAATGGACGAATTTAAGAGACAAACAAAATATGCATATTCAGAGATTCTGGATTTTTAAATTTAACTAGAAGGAGGAGATGCCTTCTTAAGGAAATTATACTTTTTTGTGGAAAAAACGTATCAGATGGACATTATTGTGTTTAGCTGACTATTTGTTTATATGTCTTAATATATATCTAGAGGGGATGTTTAATCTTCATCTGATCTACTGGATGTCTCCCTACAGAGAAACATGATGAAACCCATTTTGTTTACAAGTTCATTATAGAGTTTATGTGGGACAAGTTGGAGCTGGTTACCAAAACTGTTTTAATGGACATCTCCTATGGGAGTTCTAGCTGATGATATGCTAACAGCTCATATTAGGTCCTGCATGCAGTTGTCATGATGTGCAATAATGTGGCTTAAAAGGCATAAAGATTTAAAAAATATATATATTTTCACAATTTTATTATCAAAACCAACAGATAACATTTATTTCATATGGCTTTACATCTGTTTTCTTTTATTTATTGTTTTATCATTTACTTTGATGTATTTTATATTCATATCATGCCATTGTGGAACAGCATTAACAGAACACACACAAAGCCAGAAAAAAAGACATGGTTTTAAATTAAAGGCACTGTTTCCTAAAGTTTATAAAAGAAACAAGAACACTCTCTTCATGAACATCATCATTACTATCAGTGGCGTCATTATTAATGTCTCACAATCATTGTTACATAAGATGTCTGGTTATATCATCAAAGCACTGGGAGTGCTGGTAGAACTTCCTCAGTTGGTACTACAGAGGCAGGTAGCTGGGAGGCTGCAGTAGGTCCCTCTTGCCGTAGGTGGCAGATCCCACGTTGGTCGGTGCGTAGACTGTACCGATAGTGTTACTGGAGCGGACCAGGAAGTCTGCTAGCCTTTGGGTGACGCAGGTGGCTGTGTTGCACTTTCTCTTCGCTATGTGGTGACTGGGAAGAAAGTACAAAGTTATAAAAAACTTGTAGATAGAATGTTTTTCATGTAATAGAGATTTAATACAGCTGTCACCTGTTCATAGCTGTGAGCCCCCTTTGCGGCCGTGTACCCATGAGGCCGAGGAATGGGTTGGAGATTAGCCCAGGAGCTAACCAGCCGTCACTGTCTGGGAGAGCACTTTCCTGCTCGCTGGATGAGCTGGGACTGAAGTACCTGAATCACAGAGGGAAAAGGGCCAAACCATTTCACACTGATAGCTGAAGATACCCTCTTCAGAACATCCACTAGCCCTGAGAGCAAGAAGAAAAAGTGGCCACTTAGCGCCCCCCGGGTTGCACAATGAGGCACTTTCCCACAGACGAGCACAATTGGCTTCCACCTCCAGAGTTATCAGTGCCCTATTGCTCCTCACGCAGAACATTACAGCCCTTCTTATCACAAAATTTCCATGATATTCAGCTACTTGTATGCTGACCTGCAGTTAAACTCCTAGATTGGTTTCCTGCCTGTTAAGACAATAGTCATTTAAGCTGGTGTCTGATCTAATATGATCAACATTTCACCCAGGCCCGGTACCACGAGGGGTCTTAAGGGGGCTTAGCCCACTCAGTCGTATTTTTTGTCCCTCTGTTTAAGCTTTATATATAGAGAGAAAAATAACAACAATTATGGCTGAGATACATATGACTATTGTGTATCTGTTGTTTCAGAACCACGGACAGCGCTGTTTGTTTTGTGTAGGCGACAGGGAAGTGAAGGGACACTCAACCAGAGAGGGAGAAAGCTGCAAGCTGTAAACAGCTGTTTCTGTGCCTCCCTTGCTGATTTTGACAGAGAATCATTAATGAATTAAAAAAATATTTAGCACACTCCTAATATACATTCATTTGCAAGTGCATTGAAGTGAAACAGTAGCCTTACGTTGTTCTTTTGCCTTCCTGAGGCTATTGCATGTTTAAATAAATGAATTGTGTTGTTATAAACTCTGCACCTAATCTTAGACCACTATTTTTCTTTTTACAAGTCATTGCAAAGACTTACCAAAGAGCTCATTGCTTGTTTGTAATATAATACACTTACCTGTAACTTGGGGCAGTGGTGACGCAGCGCAGCAACACAAGCAGCATGAGGAGAAGCACTGGCACCCTCAGGTGATACATAATGTAGGGTGATTACCTGAAACAGCACAGAAGATTTGTTTTATTTTTTAGAATGAACCTTTATTTAACTACAAAGACCTGGCCAAAAGACAACAGCGCAGCAACTTACCTATGCATGTACATTATCAGGACATAATGTAATTAACAAATACAAACAAGAATAAAATGCTGTAATTAAAATATTGGTATTGATAAAATATTGAGTGTCTAATTCTGGATTTGAAAAGTCATCATTATGAGAACAAAAAGACAAGTATTGTTAATTCCATACAATCTATAATTTAACTATGACAGTAATCCACCAGCCTCCAACAAGGATTAACCAGTTCAACTCCGATAAAATATTTTGCTCTGGTATATATTAAGAGTTACAAATAGGGTTGCAAATAACAGATATTTTTATTATCAATTAATCTGCCATTTATTTTTATGATTAATCGGTTAATATTGTCTATAATATGTAAGAAAATGTAAAGAATCCCCTTCACAATTCTTCAGAAGCCAAGCTGATGTCTTCAAAATGCTTTACCTGACCAATCATCCAAAACCCCAAAGATATTCACTTTATTATCACATAAGACAAAGAAAAGTAGCAATTGAGAAGCTGGAAGCAGACAGTTTTGGCTTGAAAAACGACATAAATCAATTAGCAATCAGCAATTAACAGCTGCTGATCAATTGTCTGTCGAGAGATTGTTTCAGCTCTTTTTTACACTCCATTTAAATCATATATATAGTCTGTATGCACAAGCTGGAGTTATTTATTTATAGCTTCTACACATCATACTTCTATAGTATAACACATTTACATGCTTCTTTACATTAAATAGAAACTGCAACAAGACATATTTGGTATCTTTCATAACCCTCAGGATGTTGAATTTAAAATATACACCAGGTCTGTGTATTCGAACCACACACAATGTGTATTTTAAATATCTAAAAACATAAATGAAAAGTGTGAAAAGAGATTCAGCAAAATATCCTATTCAAACCTACAATAAAACTAACTAAAAAACACTGTCCATCTCCTGTAGCACCCCATAGACAAGACTCAGACACAGGTACAGGAAAAACGACAAACTTAAGAGAGACAGAGTACTTACTTTCTGTTGTGTTTGCCAGTAGCCAGCAGATTCCCAGTCTGTCACTGAAGCAGTCCAGGATTTGTTAGACTGTCACACAAACCGACTCCAACAGTTATAGGCTCATCGCTCAAACCACTTGTGACATCAGCTCTCTCCAAATATAGCCTTGCATTTTCATTTACACAGAATGGGGAGGACGAGGGGGGAGGAGGGGTGTAGGGAAGTCCAAGAGGGTCTTACATATGTCATACGCACTCTCAGCTGTACCTTAATGTACACTCTTAAGCCTGTGCACAGAAAAATGCTAATTTTCACAGAAAACACACACACTCACACACACACATACGCACACACATCTTTGTACGTCACCATCCTCATCATCACCTTCGTCATCGTTCTCATCAGCGCCTGTGATGGGACTGACCCGCCATAAACCCACACCAGGGAGAGGAAAGCTGTCTTCCTATTTACCTTGAGACACGTAATGAAGTTTCAGGTCACCAAACTCTGGCCCTCCTGCCTCCCTCTGGACTTCATCGACGATGAATAATGAATGTGAAGATGAATTATCATCAATAATGAATGGTGTCTCATTATTTTGACGGGACACGTCACAAACAACTGAGAAAGTACTAATTAATGAAGTGATGGTAAAACTTGAGAGTAACACTTTACAAACACGTGACCTGGAACTCTGACTAGTTTATGAAAGGATTAGCAATAACATCTCTTTTGCGATAGTTTGTTTGTTTGTTTGACTTTGTTTGAAATATTTAGTATTTTTCTGTAACTTTAAAGCTGCTATAATCATTATTTTTATATTAACAATGGATCAAGACACTACTTGTAATGTGAAAGGTGTCCCTGGTCGTGACAAATCCACAGAGAATTTATCACCCAACTCTGCAGTTTTCCCTCAGTTCTATGGAGCGTTTTAGGGTCTTTCAGCTCACTGCTTTGTTCTTACTGCCTGCAACTTTACTGTTTTGGTTGACTCTCACTGCTCTCATCATTGTTGTTTTCAGCCACAGGAGGCAGCAGTTTTCACTGAAAAAACGGACTGTACGTTACCTGCTTAGCAGGTTAGCAACTATCCGGTGAACTTTAGCAGATGAAAGAGACAGGTATTTCGCTGAGGAGTTGGTAGAGACCAAAAACAGAGCTAAAAAGAGAGTGAATATAGCAATAGAAATCCAAATAAATGTTAATATTGCTTCGTGTCAGCTGGATGTGTGGATAGGTAGCTGTTTGCTAACAGGTTAGCCAGCGTGATGATGTCATTGTTTGTGTTTACAGCTTGTTTCCACTGCTCCCATGTGGCCAAAAAATCACAGGTTCATGACTACACACCCCCACATCTGTCATCTGACTGATTTAAATGTTACTAATCTCTGACTGGTGCATCAGTTAGGAAATATATGACATTAACGTTTTCCAGCTAAGCCACACCCACCTCTGTTGCACAGGAGCTTATGCATTTTCAGCTGAAACAGGGCTTGGTTTGGATTAAATAGAAAATTAACTGTATTTGAGACATATTGTAGTAGCAGTTATAGCCACCGTAGCTGAGAGAAAAGCGCTCATAAAAATGTAATTATCAAAGAATGCAGGAAAAGAACACATTCAATTTATAATTATTATCATGACCATATTCCTTATGAACGTTTGTCTGTGTCCATGAGATGCCACCACAGACTGCAGGCTGCTGGTAAGTGCTGGTGGTTTTCACCGCAGCTTTGAGCTGAAAGAGAGACATAGTGCAGTCCTAATGGACATGCAACACCCCCAAACCCACCAAGGTCCAGCTAACACCTCCCTGTGTTTCCTGTAAGCTTCCCAAGAAAACCTGCTGTAACTGCAGACAAAGATAGGGTGACAGGAAATGTTCACATTTCTCTACTTTTACATCAGTTATATAGTATGACTTGATTTACTTCCTTGGCACTATTATTTGTTCAAGGCTGATTTCTGCAGATGATTTCCTAATAAACTATTTAATGGTGATAGTCTGAACACAATTGATTAGTTTGGCCATGTACAACAGATTTCTGTCGATGCCTGTTTATGCAATTATATCCCATTTCACTGACAAGCGCTGGTTGTTAAAAAAAATTGCAATAATTGGATTTAATATATAATTAACCTATGAAATATTTAGCTACTCCATTGGATATGAGGGGGTTGTTTAGAAAGGTTAATTTGCACAATCCGTCCTGACAGAAAGGACAGGGCGGAAGGGAAAAGACAGAAGACAGGGAAAGGAGAGTAAGGGAGAGAAAAAAAGACAGAAGGTGGGTGGTATGTGTAGGATTTAAAGCCTATATATAAGATATAGTCTGGGGAAACGTGTCTCTTGTATGATTCTATTATCTTGTCCCTTGGATTACTTTGGTAATCGTGAGGAGCCAGATGTTACATGGGTGGCAGCTCAGTTTCCTGCTCCCATCACAGAAAAAACCAATACCACAAAGCTGAGTGAACCTCCACAGTCCACAAGGTATCAGGAATTCTTCTTATTCCATACTTTGAAGGTGCTCCTCCAGTAGCTTTGTTTCCATTTTCACATTCAGTGCAGATATTTAGGATTGAAAGCTCGAATACACAGCTCAATATGGCTTTATTAGTATTCCTCTAGCAATGGACAGAGGAGGGATCAAAAGGCTCTGGGGAATGATTAGTAGCCAGTGCCAGCAAAGGTAATACTGTGACCTCTGATAATAACTGGGGATATGTCCACTATTTCATGAAGTCTTACTTAAATGACAGATGCTCATTTATATCTGCAATACCGATGCACAATTGGAGGAACTCAATCCCACGGTCACAGAGCTATTGTTGGAATAACAGCCAAACTGTGTGATTCTCTGTGGCCTATGATGCATCCACAGACACAAATAAACAATTAACGTCACCAACACCTACCTGTACTGTCCTGGGAAAACAAATGCCAGTTGTTTAATTAATTGCATGAATTGGCTTCTTGGTCAGGAATGCTAGTGGTTTGTGTAATTGTTTTGGCTGACAAATATTGCTCAAATATGTAGCTGTTCCTCAAGCCTAATTATACCACTGATATTTCTTCCTCTACATAAATGTACTATTAACATGCTTTTGAACACTAGGCAGCTGAGTTTCCTATTCATTTACCCAAACTTAAAGCTGCTAATATCAATATTTTCTTATTAACAATGAATCAAATGGATAGTGACAAACCCACAGAGAATTATCACCTTCCTCTCTGCTCTCCAGAGATATTTAGCATCTTTTAACTAATTGTTTTGTTTTTCTGCAGCCTGCAACTTCACAATTTTGGTTCACTCTTAGCTCTCATCAAAGTAATTTATATTAAAAATGAAAAAAAAAAAAAAACACAAAATCACAAAATTAGCGACTAGTTGGTGAACACAGTGGAGCATTTAGCAAGAGCCAGATATTTTCCTCAGAAGTTGTTGGGAGTTGCTATGTTCATCAGGTGCACAGAAATACAACTCTGTAAATAAGCCACTCTTTGCTAGCACGTTTGCCCTCAAACTTTATAAGATGATAATGAGTCAGTATTGTAATTACAGCTTGTTGTGCTGCCCCCAAGTGGCCAAAAAATAAAAAATCAATCACTGCAGGTTTAATTAACAATGACATACATTTAAAAACGTTTAGCACACCACTCATGAGGAAGAAACCTAACAGGAAGATCATTTTCATTATTTGTCCACAGCATGATATTGTGTTAACATTGCTTTAATTTGTTTTTGAGAATGCAAAATTTAACGTGAATATAATATCACACATTTAATAGTTCATTTATTGACATAAAAAGCAAAAATCTCTAATGTTTTTCAATCAGGGCCTTGTTAGGAGTCAATATTTGACTTGTTTGAGTTGTTGGTCAATGTGCACATCCAGTGCTATTCCATATTTATACAAAGTACTGTAGTATGTTTCTATAGCTGTGGAAATCGCATCACTGATAGCCCATTTCCTCCTTAGGACTAATTGTAATTTAACAACTCCTGTAATACAATACAAGAGGGAAGAAATACTGTTAGCACAGAGCGTGCTATAGCTTAGAAGAAAATGGAATTCCTCTTGATATTCCAAATATATTCCAAATAAATGTGACTTTTGGCCAGACTTTGTAACATTTCTACAATGGTTCCACTTGGCCTTGTTTGATCCTGTGATTGAGGACACATCGGTGAACACCTTAGTTTTATGGGCTGTCAGTTTCTTTACTGTGTGCCGTTTCGTTCTCTAACTTGTTTTTGTCATCCACATGATGGTTCGGCTTCTCTTTTTCCACCTGTGCAGTCGTCTCCTTGCAAAACTCTTTTCCCTCTTTCGCCTCCTCCTCTGACCTCTGCTCCTCAGACTCTCTCTTTGCTTCCTCATTTGGAAGAGGAGTCAACTCAACAGTGGTCTCTGTCAGGGATTGGAGCTGTTGCCTCTCTTGGGTGTTATTTGTAGAGATGAGTCTGCCATCTTGGAGGAGCTGCTCTTTTCCATGAACCTCCCCTCCCTCCTCCGGATCTGTTGTGATCCTTCCACAAACATTGGGAGCATGAGGCAGTTTGGGAGTTTTAGGAGCACCTGGCTGGTCCTCAATGGAATTTGATGGGGCCTGAAGTTCAATTTCCTTGGAAGTTTTTGAATGCTGCTTCTCTGCTTCTCGCTCTGGTTTCCGAAACTGTCGTCTGAGGAGGATGATGACGGCAATGATGAAGAAATACGAGGAACCACTGAGACAAGTGATCAGACCTAGGAAGATGATCCTGAAAATAAAGACGAAAGAGGGGCTGAGATCTTTATTGTTATGGTGTCTAAAGTGGTGGAGAAAAAAGAATTACAAGTAATAATATTTATATAAAGCCATAATACCACTCAACACTTTTTATATAAGCAATCACATTCTACTTTCACATTTGTTACCCATTGCATACCTGTACATGGCAGAGTCATAAATGCGGCATGCCCCCCTGCCCCCACACTTCTTGATCGACCACTTCAGGCAAGTTGAATCAATCAGGGCTCCGAAATACACTGGTGCAGGGATTCCACCTACAGGCAAAATATCCCCCATATATGTATTGTTACAACATGGCAATGCAGAGAAATA